CGACAGTGATTCAGTAATGGTAATTTTGCTATTAAAGGAAGTGAAAGGTTTCGTTTTGTTAGCCGAGCTCAGCATGTAGCTGTCAGGTCTTGCTCACCTAAGGGCAAGAGAAAATGATAGTAATAATTGCAGTAGTTGTATTGTACTTGATTTTTGCACGTGTGCTAAGGATAGGCTTGAAGAGGCAGGCAGGCAGGTACGCGTCCTTCCTCGATTTGGACACAATGATCTTCCTGTCGGTTCGTTATGCTTGACTGTTGCCGTGTTCTTCCCGGGACGACTTTACAGTTACTCAGCAGTTCACTCCTGGGAAATGGAAGTGATGTTTTCCACTGTAACGCTCATGAACGGGAGGCTGCTGTTGTGTGATGTACTCACTAACTGCATTCATTCACCTAAACCAGTTCTGTTCTGCTGTGATTGGAGCCCTCCTCACCCCACTTATTAAAAAGCACCCGCAGATTCCCACTAAACGTCACTTGTGGTTATTGACATGTTTGGTTCAGTTCCCCAAATCGGACATTCTTTAAAAGGAAATGACAGGAGCGCTGATCACGTCCGTAATTTTTAATAACTCACAAAGTGGTGTATTCTGAGGACTGTATTCCCTGTTGCTTCGTGCTGTCCTCCCTCCTGTGTCTGTCATCAGCCCACAGGGGCGTGTTATCACATTTAGCACCAGGAGGATGTGTGCTCCGTTCCCTGGTTCATCACACACGTGACGGAATGGCGTCGTTATAGAAGCAGCCTCGCTTCAGGGTCAGAAGTGACTACGTGGTGGGATGCATTAGGCCAGGCAGCAGGCAGTAACTGGTATTTTTATTGTTCCTGCCTTTTCTTTTCTTTTTTTTATCCTCACCCGAGGATCTATTTCCATTGATTTTCAGAGAGAGTGGAAGAGAGAGGGAAACACATAGATTGGTTGCCTCCTGCACGCATCCCAACCAGGGCCCAGGAGCCTACACCTGAGGTATGTGCTCTTGACTGGAATCGAACCCGGGACCCTTCGGTGCGCAGACCAGCTAGGGCAGGAGTGTTCTTGCCTTTTCTAAGCTCCTTACTTTCTTTCGCCGTGGTCACAGTCATTTAAAATTAATTTGATATGAAGATATTTGATGTAGGATTTTATTCACCTTTCTCTGCCTACAGTTTTTCCCTTTCCACGTCAGTTTTTAGGAAAGTTTGCCCCTGCTGTGGTGTCGTTGTCAGCAAGCAGTTAGGCGGGGGTGGGAGACCTGGGAAGACTGGTGCTTGTGTCTTCAAGGCACGCTCGTAGCTCTTTGCATAAAAAAAGTATAGATACCCTACATAGGCTATTGTACAATTGGAAGGGGCAGTGCAGTTATGCATCTTAACAGTAAGATGTTGGAAATGGAGTAGTACAGGCAAAGATCACTGTTTATCTTTCCAGACAATTTGAAGGTTGTCTGTCAGGTCAATGATAGTCCATATCACAGAATCTTACAAAACAAAGTTTGGATGATATTCCTAAATGCACACTATACATGTGCAATCACTTCAATCATGGGACAACTTGAGCTTCTGTGGAACTAAGTGGGGGAGGGTGGATGGCCGTCCATCATCATCATCACTGACCTTGGGAGGGTCACCGAGCAGTCCCCACTTTAGGGCTGGATGGAAGTTTCTTCCGCGCACTGACCTTTCCCAGTCCCTCTGTCGTTTCTCAAAATGGGACATGACTAGTTTTTTTCACCTCTTTTATAGTTGGTATCTTAAAGATGATCTATATGCTCTATATCTAATAAATATAGACAGAGAAAACAGAAACAGTGCTTATCACTTTAAAAAAAATTTTAAGTTAAAATGCTACCTACCCACTGGTGGCCCCAGTCCTCAAGTGTGGTCAAGGTGAATGGGCTGCGCTCTGTGCTGAAATTAAAGTGCTGATCGGGGTGAGGTCATCAATCACCTCATTGGTTCACTTTATTTAACTGTTTACTTAGTTATACATTTTTTCTCTGGTTTCAGTCATCCAATTATAACTTGTATCATAGTTCCACGGCATGCTCTTATATGATCTCCCATGTTTCATGCGTGTATTTGTGTGCATACCCATGTACATGTGCAAAGGCTATGTGAACACCCAGTCTGTTCCTCCTGCCTTTAAGATGGACTTTCCCTCCAGTTTCTCAGATGCCCTGTTGGCTGTAAGCAGCAGGAGAGGGGGTAGCAACCACAGCCTGGACGCT